TTCTGGCGTTGTAAGTCCGCAGACATACCGCTGTGCCACTGGGGGGCAGTATTTAGAGCTTCTCATGAGTAAACTGTAGTTACGAAAAACCGTTTAGTGGATTTACTACATGATTTTACTTTATTCTTACTAAGAGGAGTATGGATGAAACCAAAACTCCAAAATATACATAAACTACTTTTTTTTGTTCTGAAGTGCAATTTGAGATTATTTTTATGATTCGCTAAATGTCAGTCGCTCCCACTTCACTTGTTCCCTAAGAAATAATTCTTCCTTTATACAGACATAATACAAGATAATTAAAAATCCTTAATTTAAAAAGGGCAATAGGGATCGTTAAAAAGTACAGAAACAAGTTGAATCAAAATGCAAAGATAATATCTTCTAGCCTACAACTAGGGAACCAGTTTGTTTTGTTTTTTTTACTTTTTTCTGTAAAATGTAAACAAACTAGGCTGGTAATAGTGTCTACATTATTACCTCAGGCTACAAATCCTTATTTTAACTCCACTAAAATGGATAAGTACTGTAGACATGGAGTCAAAATAGAGATTTGGACATTGAGATAGTAATGTAGACAACATTTCCAGCTTAGAGTGTTTACTTATTTTTAAGAGTCCCTAGTTGTAGGCTTGAAAATATAATCTTTGCATTTTGATTCACCTTTTTTCTGAACTTCTTTGATGATCCCTATTCTCCTTTTTAAATTAAGAATTTTTTTAATTATTTTGTTTCTTAAGTTTTTATGGCCATATATAAAGAACAAATTGTAAGCTACATACATGCATATGCATTCAGTTGAATGTTACATGTTTTTCAATAGTTTGCTGCTATATTGACGTCTTTTCCACCCAACCATTATTTACTGACCCAGGTGGTTTTGTGCCTGAGATTTCGTGTAAACACGCGTACAAGCGAAGTACGAAAATCCGTAGAATAAATCATCGCTCACTAAAGTATAGAAATCTACTATGGTAATTATTTACCGTTAGAAAACTCACTGAAATAGTCGCCGAAAATCACGTAGAGACAGATTATAACAGCAAACTCGAGAAATGATGAATCCTTAATGTGCTATAAGTTACATAAATTATTTTCTAATTAATGCGAATCAGTGAAACAAATGATTTTTTCAATGGCGGAAAGTGAAGGACTTAGAGAAATTTTTCAGGGCGAAAAAACGAATGCGCTTGAATTAATTTCAAACTAACTTACAACATACTCAATACTGCATTCATTACTATTGTCCATGTTTCAGCAAAGTATTCGTAGCCGTTTTTTCTGTTGCGGTTTGTAAAACTATAATCAATAATAATAAGATTGGAGACACTGTTATAAATATACATATTGTTTACTCTAATAAAGTGAAGCACTTCCGACTAGTATAATGGTGCTTTAAATGGCTTCTACGTTTCTGCAATTTTTGAATGCCTTCGAAGAGCTTATGTTGGTAGAGAAGAAGAACATACAAAATTTTAGAGTAGAAATTTCGACTTTCAAGAATCAAATTAAAATAGTCCTATAACTTTCGCAAGAGTTTGTTTAGTAACTGTGCATATATTTTGGCGCAGTATACCTATCCGTTTTTGCTGTAGGCTTCGGTGCTTGAGTGGCTTCGAAGAGAAAGTTGACAAGTAGCGATTAAAAAACTGATAACTTTTTTTCCTCTGTTTCAAGAATCAACATAAAAATAGTCCTATGAACTGCGCAGGAGTTTGCTCAGGCTTACATAAAATATTAATATCCATTTTTTTTCTGTAGGTTTGTGAAACAAGAATAATACGAACAATAATAATAATGTGAAGAACAAATGGATTAATTTTGAATTTTGTCTAATAATCGAAAATTCAACTTTTTTGCTATTATCGATATTTTAGCAGCCTTTGTCATTGAGATAGCAGGTCTTGGGTGTTGTTTCAAGAACAAGTCAGATTTTTAAGATTGGTTTTGTCCGTCTGTTCTATTAAGATTTTTATGAAATTGCTGGACGAACCCTATTACGAACCACTATCGTGGTTCATGATGCTGTAGTACGTTTTTGGTAGATATGGAACTGAATTACATCCTTATTTATCTCAGTGACATATGATCACAGAAAAATAGCCACTAGAGACCTAAACCAAAACATACTTTAAAAAGTAATGTATCTAACTTTATGTAGTAGAATAATTATGAATTCTTAATGTCATAAAACAACTGTCAAGATAACAAAAACTACTAATGATTAAAATGAGTATTTCATCAATTAAGTACCCTCACTATTATTGATTTTTTTAGTCATAATTCCAATAATATCTCAAGAGATTCGGCCACCTTCGAGATTTAGGTTAGTCCTAAACTCATACACTAAATGAGCTATACAAAATAATCTTATTACATGTAAAATAAATAAAAAGGTGCTATTAATTAGAACTATTGTATAATACACATGGAAATTAATATGTTTTAAACACATATTAAAATATTATAAAGCAATAACCTTTATGTAATACACTTTTTACTCACAAGACACATAAATCTGCTCTTTAATTTTAATGAAAATTTAGAGAATGATTATATGGTAAAATGTAACTGAATGAATCAGTCAAACCATAAACATTACTTTCACTCTATTTTTGCGATATCTGGGGACAAACACATTACTACTGGGTTGATATCTTAAAATGTGGGACTATTACAAATGGTAACTCATGAATTAAAACAGAATATGAGCTACCATTAAAGTGTCCCATTAACACGACTACATAGATAATTTTCTGCCACTATGGCCTTGGCATATTTCTTAGTTATTTTTCCTTACTTCTACTAACATACTGAGTAAAAACGTATATTAAACTGTAATAAAAAGTGAATAATAAAAAAATTAAATATTAAACAATCTAAAATCCATGTCACAATTAGTTAACAACAGAACCGAAGCACTTAATATTATAACAGGTACAATCCACAAGAAGAATAGTTATAGAACGTAACATTGTAATTGATAAAATCCACGTCACGTTTACTTAACAATAGAATGTAACATTATAACAGGTAAAATACACGCAACGAATAGTTATAGAACGTAACATTGTAACTGATAAAATCCACGTCACGTTTACTTAACAATAGAATGTAACATTATAACAGGTAAAATACACGCAACGAATAGTTATAGAACGTAACATTGTAACTGATAAAATCCACGTCACGTTTACTTAACAATAGAATAACATTATAACAAGTAAAATTCGCGTCCTGAATAGCAATAGAACGTGACATTATAACTGACATAATCCACATCACGAATAGCTAAAAACAGAATGTAACATTTTAACAAGGACGTGGATTTTACTTGTTATAATGTTATATTCTATTGTTAACTATTCGTTACGTGTAATTTACCTGTTATAATGTCACGTTCTATTGCTATTCAGGACGTGGATTTTACAGAATAGCAATAGAACGTGACATTATAACTGACATAATCCACATCACGAATAGCTAAAAACAGAAGGTAACATTATAACAGGTAAAATTCACTTCACAACTGTTCAATACAACGTAAAATTATAATAGTTCAAGTTCACGTGAATAGTTCAAAATAGAACGTAACATTGTAAGAGGTTAAATCTAAGTTATGATTAGTTAACAATAAAACGTTACGTTATAAAAGGTAAAATCCATGTAACGAATAGGTAACAATAGAACAAAGCATTATAACAAGGAAACTCTACATATAAAATAATTAACAACAGAAAGTAGCATTATAACAAGCAAAATCCGCTTCACGATTAGTTAATAACAGAACTTACCAGCTACGAACAGAGTTATTTCTGTATTATGTCCATTAATTTGTAAGAGAAGCCTTCACAGATTACGAGTGATTTTTACTTTTAGTTAGAACAGAATGAACACTTTATTTATTTTCAATAACATATCTGCAAATGTATCCGTGTTCTCTACAGTCTTCAAGTTCTCTTCAAATGATATTTTGCAGTAAATTCAGTTAACTTTCCAAGCTGTATCATAAACCAATAAGGGAAAAGACAGTCCGTCTGATTTTCAATTCATGTAAACGTTCTTTGTAGCGATGGTTAACCACTTTTCTACTTCAAATCTAAAGTCTAATCGACTTAATTTTTCGGAGATAATGAAATTTCAAGGCAACATTAAGTTTGTTAATTATAGTATTTTGGCACTTGTGTATAAAGTTAAAATCATAAATAATTTTCAACGTTAAACTGGTACACAATTAAAAACATTTTATTTAGACCTATCTATGACCTTCAAAAAGTTGACAACTCTATATGTTTCGACGTTACAACGTCATCCTCAGGAGTAACGTCGAAACATATAGAGTTGTCAATTTTTTGAAGGTCATAGATAGGTCTAAATAAAATGTTTTTTATTGTGTACCAGTTTAATGTTGAAAATTATTTATGATTTTAAATTAAGTTTGTTGTTACACAGATTTTCTATGTATCTGAATAAAAAATAACTTATCATGAGATCAAAATGAGGTCTCCATTAATACCATCAAAATTCATACTTATCATAGACATATATTTCTTTTAACAAAAAAATCGTGAATTTTTTTTGTTTGTGGCTAGCATATATTAACAATTAATCTCAAAACGTTTGCTCATTCTACAAAATGGCTTTAAGATTTGATTTTATTTAAAGCTTCGAAAGCATTTAGGTAAAAACACAAAAACAGGGGATAATAAAAATTAATAACGAATGCAAATTATTTGACCTGAGAAATAACTAACCATTTGACGTTTAAATATTTTTGTCTGCCTTTACCTAACGGAGGTCCTTTTAAGTTGCATCTGGCAAGTGGTCTTAAAACTTTGCGACAATATTTTCAATTTGTGGGATTGATTAGTATATAAAATTGTTGTATTTTAATTTTATAATTGTATACAATAAACGTATAGTTATTTGAAAAATTTAATCGAACTGAAACAATAAATGTTTACGTTCCTAATTAGCAAATCTTAACGTCTACTGCTTACCGGGCGGTTTAACAAATGGTTGATCGGCTGCAACTGCTGTTAAACTGGTTGAACGACAACGTCAGTGTTCCTGAAGTAATTTTTGACTGCAAATTGACTGCAAATATTTGACAGCAACTGACCTAAAATAAGTTTCTAACTATTCGAGAAAAGCTGCTTTATTTAAAGCTCCACAATATATGGCACAATTCCACCCACACGTTCGTCGATAAAACAACAAATAGATAAATGTCTCGCCGCGTTACACATGAACAGCAATATTGACGTCATTACAGCATGATTGATATAACTGCCGGTAGATGGCAATACAATCAACCCTCAAGTTTAAGAAAAATCAATGCATTTGCTAAATTATAATTAAGTACAACAAAATGTTCGAAGTACAGAATTTAATAAAACAACAAATGCTATAAAAGCTAATAACTTTTTCTACAATAATAACTGAATCCAGAATGTATGGTTATATGATGAAAATAACTTATTTCATAATTGAAACAAGTATTTTTATACGTCAAAAAATATATAAATAGCATCACTCAAGAATATTTCACAAATAATAAGGATATTTTAGAAAATAATCGCTTACGATGGATGATGTTGGGAGACCAAGTAATAGTGTGTACAAAAATTGACTTTACTAGAAAGTAAAACTAGCAAAGTTTTGTTTAAAACCAGCTTCACGAACAGCTTAATTAATACTAATAATTACACAGTTAAATTAATTACAGAATATTGTGAATTCAAAATGTACAAGAATAAGTTAAAATACCAACATTTCCAAATAGAAAATTATAGTTCTAGAATTTTTAAGACACCGATAATAATAAAATTGAAGGTAACAAGTTCTGATATATATATATATAGGTTTTGACATATCAAGTCAAAAAAGTAGTGGCACTGCAAAGAAAAAAAAAAGGCCCGATAACAACAGCAAGCACTACAATGGATTAATGGTAAGTCTAAAGCTTATAATCCTAAATATCGAGTTTCCATACCGGAAATGGATAGGCCTTTCTGTAGCTATGCATTTACCAACAAACAAACAAGATCGATAATTTACATTTAACTTTTCCTCTATATTGCCATCTATTGGGGACTATTGAGAATATATTTGTTACCAGCTGGAGTACCTGCCCCCTGCACCCAAGTTATGTAGAATCATGATTCAGGTGGCGAAGTAGTGGTAAAAAACGCGAAAAGCAAAAACGCCCATAAAAACCGCAAAATGCAAAACTGAAAATTTGTATGTAACTCTCCATGGAACCAATGAACCTCCATACCAAATTTGATGAACATCCATCTATAGTGGGCGAAGAAGTGGTGCAAAACGCAAAGACACTTATAAAAACCACAAAACGCAAAATACAAAATTGAAAATTTGTATGTATCTCAGCTTGGACCTAATGACCATACCAATTTTAGTGAAGATCTATCTACGCCCTACAAAGTAGTTACATGGACATACAACAGAAAACAGACAGTTCTGTTATATTTACATAGATTTTTTAGTAACAGACTAAAAAAAACAAATGAAATAAGATTACAACACAATAATCCCTCATTTTTAATCTATCCTAAAATAATAACTACCAAGACTGTTAACCTGTCTAAGTAAACAACTCGTATATCAAAATAATTTTATTCTAGATATTGTTAATCTAAGAAAGTATAATTAACTGTGTCTACTAATTACCAGGTTGTTCTTTAGTTTCGCTCTAAGTAGGTAACTTGCTCTGATCGGAAGTTAATAACAATATAACTAGCCTACTGTTAAGATGTCTATATAAACAGCTTCAGTGATACACTAATAATAAAATAGCTAAAGATAAAACTCTGTCTTACTAACTAAAACATAAAAAGATAGAAATCGGCCTTATTGATTAAAATATAAGATAAAACTCTGTCTCACTGATTAGGTCCTACAAAAATTAAACTCTGTCTTAAGGATTAAAACATATAAGATAGAACACTAACTTACTCATTAAAACACACAGAGATAAGAAAATCCTTATTGATTAAACATACAAAGATAAAACGCTACTTTACTAATTAAAAAATACAAGAATAATATTTTTTCTTACTGACTAAAACATACAAAGGTAAAACACTGTCTACTCATTAAAACATGCAAAGATAAAACTTTGTCTTACTGATTGATTCAAAGATGAAACATTGCCTTACTGATTAAAATATAGAAATATGAAAATTTTTGTTTTAGTTATTAAAACATACAATGTGAAAACACTGATTTATTGATTAATACATACAAAGATAAAACTCTGTCTTGCTAATTAAAACATACAAAGATAAAATTCTGTCTTCCTGGATAAAACATACAATAATAAAATATTTTCCTCTTGAAGTTGTGTTTATCTGCCCGACAGACATGCATGCCACCAGCTTTTTAAAACTTCTCGTGAAAACACGTGAAATTGTGCTACTGCATGATGAAGTATCATGCAACAAAAGTCTTCATCATTAGGAGTGCGAAACACCTCCTTGGGGAAATGGTCCTTCTAGATTAGCGCACGAAAATCATTATTCTTTGATGAGGCCATTAATGTAAGTGCACAGGGAAAGTGGAGAGGAAAGGTGAGGATGTGTATGGAGGTGAATATCAATCAAAAATACATTTTCACATAAGGAAAATATTAACTTCCAACACGACCACTCACCTCTGTAACAGATTAACTAGAATCCCACATAAAGATTGTGGAAGGATCGGTGCATAGATTATCAAGATGAGCCTCCTTTCGAGAGCACCAAAAGGAAACTCATGAACTACAACACCCCATGGAAGAGGCTCCGAAGGAGCACACCTCTAAGATAATGTATTTCATTGAGGGTATATTTTTGCCTGGGTGAAGGATAGAGAGAGAGACAAGAAGCCTGAAAGGTGTTGCAAGGATGGGTGGAATAGGTATGACCATCTGAGAATTTGCGCACAAGCTGTTGGATGTTCAAAATATGTAATAAGGTTGAGGCACATTCAGACTGCACCATGTGTACTCACCTCCTCAACCATCAGTTTCTATGGGTCAATACACCAAAAAAGGAGAGAAGGGCACATGTGAAAGTATCTGTGCACAGCTCTTTGACTGTCAGACACCAAGGGCGCAGGCCAGTCACTGGAGGAGGACACCACAGTGGACACAACTAATAAGGATACTTATGAAACCACCATGCATCCATCAGACTCTATTAATCTTTTGCCAGTTGTGGAAGTAGGGTTAAGGAGTGATGCATCAGTTGGATACAAAGAAATATCAGTTACACTGCAAACATATTTGGTGGGGTCATGTCCTTGCTGGAGTAGGTAAAGGAAAAGCAAAAAGGGAGTTATGTGTCTAAAATCCACTTGTAGATTGTGTCATATATAGGTAAGGATGGGGTAGTCTGCACCACACTCTAGAAACACCACTGCCCCACTTTTCAGCATAAGGGGGTCCTTGTTTTAGCACCAGCTGTTAGCTCCCAGTCAGTGAAGATTCTCCATGTTTCACCACCCTAGTGTTAAGGAGTAAGTATCTATGACTAAACATTATATCCTATGTGGTACAAATAAGGAATAACTAACTGGATCTGAATGATACTTAAACATAAAGTCCTATGAGTTACATGTTAAGGAGGAATAAACTATGACTAAACATTATATCCTATGTGGTACAAATAAGGAATAACTAACTGGATCTGAACGATATTTAAAATAAAGTCCTATGAGTTACATGTTAAGGAGGAATAAACTATGACTAAACATTATATCCTATGTGGTATAAATAAAGAATAACTAACTGGATCTGAGTGATATTTAAAATAAGGTCCTATGAGTTACATGTTAAGGAGGAATAAACTACATCCAAACAGTAACTTCTAGGTGTTATCTGGGAAGGCGGGGAGGTAATTAAACTCAAAGGACGTGTCGGGATTGGAACAAACAGATCGACGAACAATAGCTGTCAGAGACTCATCAAGAAACTTCCTAAATTATTGGTAATTGAAAGTAAAATTTGCACACACTTTGGCAAAAATAAGAACTCATGTTAACTATAATTTATATTGAAATGTTGAAAATATAAAGTAAAGTAGTTGAAGTAAAAGATTTCAACAAGTTACAGCAAAATTAAACAAGTCTTTGCGCTACTTTATCGAGAAAAAGAACGATGATTTTCGTGCACGAATGTAGAGAAACTATTACGCAAAAAGGTGTTTCTCACCCAATTGATGGGCTTTCCTGCATGATACATCATCACGCACTAGCGCATTTTCATATTAATTTTAAATGGGAATTACACAAGGCTGGTTGCATACAAATTTCTCAGGCAGCTAAGGGCGATATTAAGAGGAGAACTGATTACAACTTACAAAGATGAAATGCAATCTTACTGATAAAATCATACAAATAAAAATCCCTTTCTGATTGAAAACATACACATATGAAAAACCGCCTTACTGATTGAAATATACAAAGATAAAGCTTTTTATCTTCCTGATTAAAACACACAAAGATAAAACTCTATCTTACTGAGTAAAACCCACAAAGATTAAACTGTCATACTAATGAAAACATACAATGATAGAACACTACCTTACTGATTAAAACATTCAAATATAAAGCGTTGCTTTACAGATTAAACATACACAAATAAAACACTGCCTTATACATATACAGTACTGTGCAAAAGTGTTAAGACAAAAAAATATTTTGTCATTATTTCCATTTTATGGAGCTAGTTCTTCCACGTCGTTACAAAAATGTAAAATTTCAAACACTATGATAATGGTTCACTGATCCCTGTTGACAATTCAATGAGTCAGGTAAGAATACTTATCATTCTTTAGAATTCCCATATACTTGTACCAAGGGC